TGAAGCCAAATTACGTTTCATATGGTGAGTATATAGAACATATTTGTCAATATTCATACCGTTTAATTAGTAAAATGAAATAAAAAGAAAAAATGGATGTGTATATCTTTGGAAAGTACCCGAAAAAAGAATAAAAAACGCAGTATTAAAAATGAAAACAATCCATCTGGGAGCTAAGGCATGAGCTTCGATTGAAAATGAGGCTAGGATCTTCAAAATATATCAAGTTGAAGGTAGCTATTTTATGGAGGATTAAAAATATCACATACCACCTATTCGTCGTCTATAAAGCCGCATTCCAGAGCCCTATCTGTCCAGAGGTGTTTAAACCCATGTCTGCGTTCACCATTCCTGCAAAATTAATACGTCTGTGCAGGATAACTTTAACTGGGACAAGGACAACAGTTAAAGTCAGAAAAGATCTCTCGGAGCCCTTCAATACCGAACGAGGATTCAGACAATGTGGCAGTTTGTCGTGTGACCTGTTTAACATCCTGCTGGAAAAGCTCATACGAGATGCAAATGTGAACACAAATCACACTTTGTAGACCAAGCACTATATGTTGTACTATATGCCTACGGGCCGAACATTGCGAGCGGTAAAACCCACATTTGAAGGATTTGAGAAGGATTCTGCCAAATTGAGACTGGCAGTAAATGATGAAAATATGAAGCTGATGTTATCAATGCGCAAGACATCCAGTAGACTCGGACCAACTGTCGAACTTGAAGACTACAGCTTCGAGGTAATACACGATTTTACATACCTCGGTACTGCCATAAAGGAGAATAGTGTTGGCCAACAGATGCTCGTATGGTCTAAGTAAGTAACTCAAATGCAAGGCCAACTCTCGCCAGAACAAACTCACACTATACAAGACGCACATATTACCCGTACTGCTGTATGGATCTGAAGCATGGGTACTTGCGCAAACAGATGGGATAGCTCTTGGAGTGTTTATCGGAGGTTTTGACAGAATGCCGACTAAAATACTCAATATTTATTTGGCTAAGACCAAGTATTGGTTTGTCGATACGATAAACTTTAAACAGAGTTAGTGGATAATTTATGTTGATTGAAAGTAAGATATTCGTCTTACCTTGCTGTTGATCTGGGTATTTCATTCGGTTTCTTTGAACCCCTTCTTCATACTTCTGTTTTCGAACCAAATTGAAGCCTCATCCTCACCTTTTTTCCTCTATAAGAGGCCAGCAAGATTTTCTTTTCGTCACGTTAAGTCCTTCCGAATAGAGACATGGAATCCAGTGATATACACTGACAGTGTACATGGGATATATAATGGATCCCCATACTGATGTTAGGAATTTAATATATTCATTAGTAACTTCTAACTCTTAAGACTTTAGAAAGGTTACTAGACTCAGAAATTAGAAATACTATTAACCAAAACAAACTTAGCAACTCCCAGCATGCATACATCGAAGGCAAATCAGTGAATATAGCCTTACATGAGGTATTCCTCGACATTGAGGGAGCTTTTAACAATGTGAAGCTAGAAGCCATCCATTCTGCTCTCGTAAGCTCAGGTATCCCCTCACTTCTAACGGATTGGATTGATAGAATGCTGGAAAGCAGAATTGTCAACTCAACCTTAAGAGAGAGTTCCGTGAGGAAATCTGTCCATAGAGGCACACCACAGGGAGGAGTACTATCTCCCCTTCTGTGGCTTCTGGTGTTAAATGAGATACTGCTGAAGTTCGACTATCAAAGGATAAAGGTTGCAGTCTATGCCGATGATGTAGTCCTGCTTGATTTCTAATGACAAATAATAATATATTTTTAATGACAATTTCAGATATTTTGGAAGGTGCCCTTTCAACTCTGTCTTCACTAGGAAACATAAGATTCCTAGTTTCCGCCTGCCATCACTGGGAGGAGTGACCCTAACCCTTTCTGAAGAAACAAAATACCTTGGTACTATCCTTGACCGCAAATTAACGTAGAATAGGAATGTTGATGAACGCTCTAAGAAAGGACTGTTAGTACTCTACTCATGCATAGGTAAGAGCTGGGGACTACGACCGGAGATCATACACTGGATGTATGAGACGATCGTCCTTCCTATTCTTACATATGGTTGCCTGAGAAAATAATGTTTAGTACAGCGATCGCCTTGAATCCTGATCACCGGAGCGCTAAGAAGTATACCACCGGCAGCCTTGAATGCGATCTTGAATCTCCAACCACTGGACATTCTGATTAAATTCCAGGCGGCCAGATCTGCTCTGAGGCTCCGGGAAACGGATGCCTTGAAATCGCTGAACTATGGTCACGCTAGTATCCTAAACATAACGCCAGTTTGTGACCTCTTGAGAGGAAATAGTCACATTAGTGACTATGCTCCCTCTCACAGAGACTTTAATTACATCAAAGTAGAGTTTCCTAGTAGGGAATCCTGGATTAACGGCTCCTTACCTCTACCAGCTCTGTCATTCTTTACAGATGGAAACATACAAATCATATAAACTTAACATTGTTTGTAGCGTTTTTCATGCAGAAATTCCTGCAATCACGAAAGCGGCCGAAATAGTAAAATCACTTACTGCCGACATTACGGGATCGTAGGCTATATACGTCGATAGTCAGGCGGCCCTTAAGACGATGAAGTCGTGTACTATAAAGTCAAAAGCAGTTCATGATTGCAAGTCCGCTCTGAATGAAATATGACAGATATAGTCTGTTCCAGTACTTCAAGAATCTACTACTTTTTACTACGATAACGAATTTTCCTTTATGATATCGACGAAAATAGTAAAATCTAGTATATTCTTGCAGTACGGGAACAGACCAAGAGTTAGCTTATGTTGGGTTCGAGGACATAGTGACATCGAAGGGATTGAGATAGCCGACGAGCTTGCTCGAGGGTGCTCACAATCTCCCGATTGAGAGATCTGTGAAACCACCCATTGGCTATTTCATTGGCAAAATCCGCTTGTTCTACTGCGAGGTAGTCGGTAACAGATGGTCAAGAGAACCTGGTTGCAGTATCTCAAAATCTATCTGGCCTGAATTCTGTCGCAAAAGAACGTCTTCGCTGCTAGCACATAATACGAGAGATCAAAATCATTGTGGGGATCATAACAGGTCACTGCAAGATTATATGTCTCACTTTGAAATGGAACTCCGGCGGAGAGGATTACTGTCGTCTATGTGAGCACGAAGAAGAGCTAGAAACAATCGAACATATCCTCTGTAAATGTCCAGACATAAAAAGTTTGGAAGATATGAAATTGATAATCTAACCTTCTTCTCTTAGATATACCCCAACCAGATCCTAGGCTTTCCAAAAATCTGGCATGGCTAAAATAACCATCTCTCTGCTCTGCTTCTCTCACAATCTTTTCCGTGCTCTTCCACTGTCTCTCTCATCTTTGCAGACAAAAAAGAATGTTCACAATTGACTTTAGTCTCCGAGGACGGTTGTTACTAACAACCGTACATCCCTAACCTAACTTCCAACTCTGGTAAACAATTTGTAGTTTGTAATAAAACAAAAACCCAATATCAAAATTTGTTTCTTTGTTAAGTTTCCTTATATTTAGATGTTACCTTTTTTACTTTTATTAGTTTAATGTTTTTCTTTTTTCTCTTTTTGCTTTGTTAAAGTGCTAAAAGTTAATCTGAACTTTGTTTTAATTATGATTTTCAATACAATTTTTGTAGGTTTTTTTGTTATTACTAGTTTGGTGTGAGGACTCTATGTTTTATTTTTTTCTTATCTGATTTTAATTTGAAAGTTGATCAATAAATAATACAAAAACAAAATTAAACTTTAGCAAACAACTTACAATTATATAATTGAGGGTATGTTTTTTTTATTACTTTTTTCTTGTTTGTTTAGTTTTCAGTTTTTTTGTCAATTAATTAACAACAAATTATAATTAATAATAATAGATACATATTTTGTTTTGTTTAATTTATAAATCTATATTTTTTTTATATATACCTCCTATACAATCAAAGTATATATGTAAATGGTTTAATGATATATAATGGCGGGTGTTCAAATTCATTTTTTTCTTTTGTTTTGTTACGAGTTACAATACTCTTTAGTTTTTTGTTTAGAACGTATAATTAAATTTGGAAGTGTTTGTTTTTTGTTATTTTGTGGCTTTAATTTTTGTGTGTATTGGTTTTTTTTTTTCTCAAAAATGTCTTTGTTTTAATGTATGAGATGGAAAAATGGGATATTATCGGCTTGGATGCGACTACAGGTTTTTTTCTTATTGCTAAGACAGAGAGTGTAAAGGATATAAGATTGATTGGCATCCAAAAAAAGCGAAAAAGTTCTGCCGTTTATTTGATGTTGCTTTGCATCGATGTATTGACAATCGTAATAAGCGTTTTGGACTGTCGAACCTAATTGGTTTCCATCACACACCTTGAAAACTAATTCGCATTCTTATATCATTTACACGTATACTGCTGTGCTCCTTTTTTTGGGAAGGTGAAGGTATTAGTTATTGATCCTTATTTTTAAAATACAATTTTGTGTGACGAACAGTTGCTGAAAACAAATCCAAAAGGTTTTCCATTTTTTGAACATTTTACATTTTTGTTGTTGTATTGTTGTTTTTGGCCAATGTTTGGAAGAGTTCCGTGTGGTGGTGGAAACAAATCTATGTAAAGCTATTGAAACATAAAACAAAGTACTCTACAAAAAACAATTTGAAGTTTTGCATTTTTTGTATGTTTTCTCTTATGGTAGTAATTGCTAATTGGTATTTGTTTGGGGTCCTTTTTTCCCTTCTTTTTCTGGTTTCCAGAGTTCCACATGACTTCATTTTGAAGTTGTTAGCCCCATCTCCGTCTGTGTTTGTGTATATATAGGCCTCGAGTAGTGGTAGTAGTATATCAATGTATTATTTTTTTTTTTTTCTTATTTAAACCTTTTTTGTTTTATTACTCTTCTGTTGTCATTTCTTTTTTTTAGAATCTTTGATAGGCTATGCATGCATTTTCCTCGGTTTTCTCAATAATGATGTCAATTCATTGATGGTATTCTCATATCATGCCAATTCATTTCAATATTTGGCCATTTTGTTTGTAGGCATGTCATTAAAGGGTTGGATACAAATACCGATTTCAAATCGGTTTCCAAAAGTATGGCAGAACCTTTACAATAGCGAACCTGCAAGAAAGAGAAATGAAAATAAATGTACTATAAAAAAAATATATATAAGACAAATCCAAGCCTCACATAGGCCTTAACACAATTATTAAAAAAAACAGTAAGGAAAGTAGTAAAGTCGGACTGGGCCGACGATTTATCCTAACAGACGTCGCCTCTTCGAAGTACAATTGACATGAAACTGAACGAACTTACATATGTTATCTTTATCTATGTGTAAAGCGACTAAAATCAATCCCTACACATGCCATTCTGCAGCCTATGCTAAATTTTGTTAACATGAATAGGTCGAAATTATATATGGAAGCTATATGTGAACCGATTTCAAGGAAACATGCCAGAGATTAATTTATATTAACTTCAGTACGTTGTGTCAATCGGGCTAGCTATTTACTTAAAATTGCACAAATATATATATATATATAGGTGGTGTATGTAAATCTGAACCGATTTTCACGAAACTTTACACACACCATTCTAAACTTAATTCAGTGCGCTATACCAAAATCGAAAGATATATGGAGACTTTGGTGCACCATCTACATAAAATCGTTATAAAAAGAACTCGGTACGCTATGACAAAATTCGTACACATCGAATGATTTTCAGGGACTTTGGTGGTCCATTTACACGAAAATACAGTGGTGGTCACAGAATTAAAACATTTACTGTGGTAAACATTTTTTGATCAGCCCTCGATTCGTTTGAAGTATTTTTTAAATATTTTTAATTCAGAACACTTCGATATACTGCACTTAAAAGATTTAGTGTGAAAATAGAAACTTTTTGCAGGCAATTTTTCCATAAATAACGGTTTTTATGAAAATACATCCACTTTGACGTGGCTATATAATTAAAACATTGTGTGGGATTTTTTACTTTACTGCATTTTTTTAAAAATATTTTTAGAAAATCTCTTTAATTTAGTTTAATTATGTAAACGAAGCATCGATAAAATCATTTACTGATAACAATTTTTGAAAAAAATCTTACATTCAGAAAATCACCCTTATTATAGAAAATAAAGGTCCGAATGCACCAAAAATTAGTAGAATTAGCAGAAAACTATAAATAATTCTCAAAATAAATAAATATTTGAAATAAAAACTCAAAAAATTGAAATTAACCTAAAGGAACGATTCAACTTCGATAGCCTTTGTTGAAGAAGGCCAGAATATTTTTGCAGTATGAGAGAAAATATCGATCGATATTGGCATTTATTATATCAAATCGATTGTTCGAGTAGAAGAGAATATATTTTATCAAAAAATATATCAGTCACAACAGAACGAACAGAGATCAACGCTTAGGTTGACGAGTAAAAGTTTCAGGCACACAGCGGCATTTTTGATGTTCAACACAAGACTTCAAATATTTGTCAAACTGTAAAATTTTTACTTCCATGATACTAAAATAGATTAAGTGGAAGTTATTCGATTCAAAAAATATTATTTTGGAAAAATATTGTCATGTTCAATAGATTTTAAGGGTCAAGAGTTGACCATCAAACATACTGCTGTGTGCCTGAAACTTTTACTCGTCAACCTAGGCGTTGATCTCTGTTCGTTCTGTTGTGACTGATATATTTTTTGATAAAATATATTCTCTACTACTCGAACAATCGATTTGATATAATAAATGCCAATATCGATCGATATTTTCTCACATACTGCAAAAATATTCTGGCCTTCTTCAATAAAGGCTATCGAAGTTGAATCGTTCCTTTAGTTAATTTCAATTTTTTAGTTTTTATTTCAAATATTTATTTATTTTGAGAATTATTTATAGTTTTCTGCTAATTTTACCAATTTCTGGTGCATTCGGACCTTTATTTTCTATAATAAGGGTGATTTTCTGAATGTAAGGTGTACTGTGCAAATTGTTGGCAATTTGGATAGATTTTACAGATTTTTTTCAAAAATGTTTATCTGTAAATGATTTTATCAGTGCTTAGTTTACATAATTTAACTAAATTAAAGGGATTTTCAAAAAATGCAGTAAAGTAAAAAATCCCACACAATGTTTTAATTATATGGCCACTTCAAAGTGAATGTATTTTCATAAAAACCGTTATTTATGGAAAAATTGCATGCAAAAAGTTTCTATTTTCACACTAAATCTCTTAAGTGCAGTATATCGAAGTGTTCTGAATTAAAAAATTTTCAAAAATACTTCAAACGAATCGAGGGCTGATCAAAAAATGTATACCACAGTAAATGTTTTAATTCTGTTACCACCACTGTATATATGGGAGCAGTATCTAAATCTGAACCGATTTTCTTCAATTTCAAAAGGGTTCGTCCTTGGGCCAAATAAGTGACTTGTGCCAAATTTCATCCAAATCGGATTATAAATGCGACCTGTACTTTTAAAACCAGTGAGTGGAGCAGTATAGTCGGACGGGGCCGACCATACGATACCCTACACAACTACCATGGAACTCGGATGTTTATTCCGATTCCCTTCACGGTTGGTTGTGTTGTGATGTTCGCATATATTCGACTAGAAAACACACAAAAAATTAAGTTTTCGGTCCACGTCATCCCAAAATTTTAATCAGATCACCATCGAAAATTATAGGCGTTGTCTTTGACCATATTTGGAACTTCATTGTAAATTTTAAAGGAATCAGCGCTATATTTCCGCCTTCTAATGAGGTAATGGGTTACTAAATAATATCTGAATACGTAAGCACCTGTAAATATTTGTGTGTAATTCCACATCCGAGTACATACGACAATGCAATTGGAGTCATTTTGAAGGTCAACTATTCCTCTTGGATACACTATCAACTTCCAGGATCTATATGCTTCACGAGTAAATACATACTCCAGAGAATACAAAGTTTGTCATTTTTCACTTCCATGTAAATTTTCACGATGTTCGGGTCTTATTTGCGTCCTCTAGAGCGACCCGAAAAACCGACAAAAATTAAATATTTGGTCCATATCATCCCCTAAATATTAACCGATCTTTACCAAAAACAATAGGGGTCTTCACTGGCAAAACCCTTCCTACATGCAAAATTTCGTGAAGATTGGTCCATAACTGATATTGGATTTACAAATATTGAAAATTTTGACCCTCTGTGGGGGATTTACCAGAAACAGTTAACCAATGGGTCCCATCTTCGGACTTAATCTAGACATCGTAAATATAATGGGTTGTGCAAAGTTTGCTTCACATCGGACATTCCATTGCTTGATATTGGATTAACAATTATTGAAAATTTTGACCATTTGTGGGGGAGGTACTAAAAGGAGTGGACCAATGGATCCCATCTTCCTACTTGATCTAGGCTTGGTAAAGATAATAGATTGTACAAAGTTTCATTAAAATAGGATAGTCCGTTTGCATGTTATTATAAAATTGATTTTTCGCACAATTTTGACCACTTTGTGGGGGAGGTACCAGAAATTGTGGACCAATGGGTCCCATCGTCAAACTTGATCTAGGATTGGTAAAGGTAATAGGTTGTGCAAAGTTTGGTTCAAAACGGGCATTCCATTAGCTTGATATTGGTATTATAAATAATGAAAATTTGGCCCTCTGTGGGGGAGGTACCAGAAAGAGCGGACCAATGGGTCCTATCTTCAAACTTGATCCAGACTGGGTAAAGGCAATAGGTTGTACAAAGTTTCATTAAATTCGGATAGTCCGTTTGCATGTTATTATAAGTGGTCCGATAGTCCACATCTTCGAACTTTAACTAAGTTAAAAAAAAAAATATTAATATTTGTAAAGTTTGAATGAAATGGGTTGCTGCCTTCGAGAGTTATCGTGCGCATCAGCCAGCCAGACAGACGGACGGACATGCGTAAATCGACTCCAAATTTTCTGAAACGGATTTTGAGGCACATTTCGATGAGGCACATTTTCTCCGTATCAAAGTGTATATACCCTCATTAGCCATAAGGCTGAGGGTATAAAAATTCACGCCCAGAATGATGTTAAAAAAATTGTTTCAAAAATTTCACGCCTAGGATGGTACATAAAAATATATTTTAAAAATTGAAGACGTAAATTTTGTAAAAACGCACGCCCTAGCATGGTGCTAGAAAAAAATTTTTAATATTAAAAAATCACAATTTTTAATATGTTGATAGTCCTTGAAAATTATATTTTTATCAGTCAGACTTACCTTATTACCCTCATTCGATCCTGGTATACCATTATAATGCATCAAATCAAAGGTGTCGGGTGTTGAACGTTTCTCTTGGGGGAAAAATTCATCCATAAATGCATTAAGTAATATAATACCCAAACCTTCAGGATCCAAACGTCTTTGCATTATTTCCACACTGAAAAAAACATTATGACTTTTTATTACATATGGAGAAATAAAAAATCGCTGTACTTACTATTCAGCTTCGCTGACTAAATCTAAAGCTGCCAAGACATCTTGTAACACTGGTGTTGGTATAAAATTATTGCCATCCGGATCGTATGATTTGAAGACACGTCGGGCAATCTCCGATGGTGTTTCGGGTGAAACCAGACGTTTTTCATTGCTAAATAACACTGCAAAAATAAAGAGAATTAAATTAAAATCGATCATAACACAATTTTTTCCTTATATACCCACCAGTTAAATGAGTTTCTGAACCCATAACCCACACCGGATTACGTGGATTCTTATAAAACGAGCCCACAGTACAGTATCGCATTTGTTCCATTAGTGTAATGAAACCAATATCACTTTGTTCATCGATACCGCGCAATTTTAAACCACCAACATCCTGATCATTATCCCAGACATGGGCCACAGCACGTCCGGTTAACATTAAATTTATCAATGCCTGCGAACCATAACCATATGTATTGTGTATCAGTGGCTCTGATGTATCCAATAACTCGGAATTGACATTCTCAATGCCCTTTGTCAACAGCACGGTGTACATAAACAGCAATACACCATATTTGGCCGATAATATATCAAAATTATGCGTATAATATCTTTCTAGCTCTTCAATGCTATTAAAGTGTATCACTTGTAGGCGATTATGGTATTCGTCGGGTGAGACTTCTTCATCGGCAGCTGTTGTTAGACACGATGATGAAAGGACATCAGCAGAAGGACCACCACCATCACCTGACGCCGTATCAATTGTATTTAAATTAGTCGCATCGTCATCACCGCCACCACCACCACATATATCATCACTTTCTATATCTGTTGTCGCTGCTGCTGATGTTGTGGTAGTTTCTTTGGCTTCGGAACACTGATCAACAGGTAGGGTTACTAAACGCAAGCGTTGTGCTTTACATTTACTCAATATGGTACATAGGGCTTGTATTAGTAGACTTTTACACTTGTCAGGTGTTAACTAAATTAAGAATTTTTTTTTTAAATATTTTGTTGTAATATTGAAAATGAAATGCGAATACTTACATCTTTTAGAAAATGACCAGGTGTATCCATAATAAGGATCTTTAGAATGTAGGCTTGCACGGGAGCAATCACAGCACAGGGACCACCTTGCTTTTGTACCAAAGCTGATGGCTCAACATCACTAAATTCAAAACCTAAATAAAAAGAATAGATTAAATTCAATAGAACTATATACATAAATAAATTTTAAAATATTGAACACATAATTTCTACAACTCATAGATCTGTAAAGTATGCGAATAGCATATTATCTATCAGGTACTTAGTACAATTTTAGGTTTGCAGTTTAATTGACAAATTGGGGATACCCAGGTTTAGATGCCATTGTGGACCCGGTTTTTTTTAAATATTTTTCCGCGAGGATTTTAAAAAATTTCCAAGGCCAATAAAGCTATAAACGTGGATTTTTTTAAATATTTTTTGAAGGACTATCATCTGATTTTTAAACATTTTTTTTTTTGAAGGTTTATCAGCGGATTTTTAAACAATATTTTCAAGGAGTTCAAGGACTATTAAAAGGCTGCAAGCGTGGATTTTTGCAAGGACTAACAACTTGTATTTCTTTAGAAATGTTTTCAAGGCATAGATTTTTAAAACATGTTCAAGGACTATGAGGAGTAAATTTTCGAAGCTAAACAAAATTTTCAAGGACTAGGCGTAGCTTTTTTTAAAAATTTCAAGGACTATCAGACTTAGATTTAAAAAAATATATATTTTTTGAAGTACTTTCAGGTGTAGATTTTTAAAAAATATTTTTCAAGGACTATCAGGCTAAGGCGTAAGGCGCCAAATCCTGGAAAAGAACCACGAAAACTACATCGACACATTCCACCTATTCGTCGACTATAAAGCCGCATTTGACAGCCCTATCCGTTCAGAGTTGTATAAAGCCATGTCTGCGTTTGGCATTCCTGCAAAAATTAATTCGGCTATGCAGGATAACTTTAACAGGCACAAGATCAGCAGTTAGAATCAGAAAGGACCTCTCGAAGCCCTTTAATGCCGAACGAGGATTCAGACAAGGTGATAGTTTGTCGTGTGATCTTTTTAACATCCTGCTGGAAAAGGTCATACGAGAGGCATCGCCTACGCGAATAACATCGACATAATGGGTCAACATTGAGAGCGGTAAGAGACACCTTTGAACAAATTGAGGAGTCTGTCAAAGTGGGTCTGGCAGTAAACGGCGAGAAGACCAAGCTGATGGTATCAACGCACAAGATGTCCAGTAGACTCGGACCAACTGTGGAACTTGAGAACTACAGCTTCGCGGTAGTCAACGATTTCATATACCTTGGTACCGCCATAAACAAAAAGAATGACATCAGTTTTGAAATTTAGAGAAGGATAGTGATGGCCGACAGATGCTACTAGGGTCTGAGCAAACAACTCAAAAGCAAGGCCACCTCCCGCCAGACCAAGCTCATACACTACAAGACGCCGTGCTGTAATATGGATCTGAAGCATGGGTACTTACACAATCAGATGAGGCAGCTCTTGGAGTGTTTGAGAGAAAAACTTCTCCGAAAGATCTATGGGCCGATCTGCCTTGACGGTGAATATCGCCGTCGAATGAACCATGAGTTGTACCAGCTATTCTCGGACATCGACATTGTTAGACGTTGGCTATGTCATGTTGTGAGAATGGATGGAGATGCCCCAGTCCAGAAGGCATATAAAAGCGAAGCAGGTGATGGTTCACGCAGAAGGAAAGGCCACGAATACGATGGAAAGATCAAGTCGAAGACAACATTGCCGAAAATTATCTTTCTAATTGGAAAAACTGCGCAAAAGACCGACGCACCTGGAAATCTTTTCTAAGCTCGGCTTATGGAACGAAAGTGCTGTCACAAGCCAGCTAAGTAAGTAAGTTATTAAGGCGTAGATTAATAAAATATCGGCTTAGATTTTTAAAAAATATTTTTTTCAGGCGTAGATTAAAAAAAAATCAGACGTAGATTTTTAAAAAATATTTTTTTCACAGTAGATTTTTAAAAAATATTTTTTCAGGCTTGGATTAAAAAAAATGTCGAGCATAGATTTTTAAAAAATATTTTTTGAAGCGTTTTTAAAAGTCTTTCTGGTATAGATTTTTAAAAAAATATTTTTTCTAGGAATTTTAGTTGTAGATTTAAAACAAACCTTTTTTCAAAGACTATCAATCGTAAATATTTACAAATAAATATATTTAAGGATTTTTAGTTGTAGATTAAAAAAAAATAATTTTTTTTGAAAGACTATCAGTCGAAGATGCCTCCGAGGGACCAAAGGAATAATTGTGGTAGACTTTTCAAAATCTTATTGGGATATGCCGATATCGATGATAATTTCAAACCATTGGTTAAAAAATAATTCAATTTTACGATGAACTAAAAATAGTGAGACAAAGTGGGGCCAAATTTAACATGCATTGTAAAGATAAAAACATTACCAACAACAAGGCAAATATCAATATTAATAACACAAAAAATAAGGTATTTTTACAATAACAATAAATTAAAAACAAGTTGTGCCGGTAAAAAAATAAAACAACAAACAATTGTAGAATGCACATAAAAAAGCGGCAATATGGTCAATTTCTAATCCGCACACACAATATCGCCCAAACACATAAACAACACAGCAATATACATGATTGAATACGGGGGGGCTAGAACACGGCCAAGAAAAAATTGCATTGGCATCGTTATGGCTCGTGACTCATCCTTCATGGAATTTCAATTATTTTTAAATCAAAAAGAAAAACAAAAATTAAAAAAATATCCATCTCCTAAACCCCTCTACTCCTTGACCATAAAAAACGAAAAGCATACACGTTTTATGATGATGATAAACACAACAGGGAGTGGGGTGCAATGGCAGGCGGGAGGAAAATTAATAAATACAATAAATACAAAGTAACAGCAGGTGTCAATGATAATTTTTGACAGCACCTTAAAGGGCAGGGGATTGGTAGGGGCAAAATCACAACCAAATGGAATGTAATATAGGGAACACACAACTCATCAGCAAAATATGCCATCCACCCACCAGATACGGTGGAGGATGATGCTCGTCGTTTTTCATTTGCTTTTTTTTTTTTTTTGAATACCCACACCCACCTTGAGACCAACGACGAAATACATCCAGCCGTATATTTGGTCCCCATAATAAATTGCGTATTTCTTGTAATTCTCGCGCATCCTTGGTCGTTAATGCATTAATTCTGGGTGCATCCGATGATGCTGCTGCTGCAGAGGGAGTTAAGCCAGCACTCCCACTTGTGGTGGCCTGATGATGATGCTGCTGTTGCAATTCTGCCTCTGCCGCTAGGGCCGCTGCATTTTGAGCTGCTGTAGAGGCACTTTTCGTGTGTTCGCCCATGACCAGTTTGCACTTGTTTATCTTATTATTTTACAAAACAATATTTAACAACAATTTACAATTGTTTTAATCTACTATATTTTCTTTTCTTTACTGTATTCACTTTCTATTTCTATTCTATTTAATTCGTTCTTCTTCATGCACTGCACTTCGAGACACTTTCAGAACATTACGGCTGCCCTGCTTGCTTGTTTGATTTTGCACGGACGCACAAACGCACTCACTCACACAGTTGGGTTTATTGCTTTGTAGTTTAATTATTAATAACAATTTAATTAAATTAGTTAAAGCTGATGCCAAATGCAATGGCAAAAACAACAATTTATTTGGAGAATTCCCCTAAATAATTGTTTTTTTTCTTTTTTCCTGTTCTTCTTCGCCTAGAGTTGTGTCGTTTCGGAACGAACAAGTTCAAATGAACGTGTTCAGTGAAATGAATGCAAGGAACCAGTTTCATGCGAGAGATTATGGGAGACAGCAGAGAATAGAGGATAAAGCAGGCACATAAGACAAAATGGCTGATTTACTTATATGTTTACGAATGGGATTGATAAATACTTTATGATAGACTATATTTGTTTAGAAAAAGACATGGCAAATGTAAACAATCAGCTGATCAAATTTGGGGCTAGAAGGGTTACAGAGATCGAATTTGATTATAGGTTATAGGGGATTTTTAATATATTTTAATAATGAATTTTTATATGCAAGGCGTGATTTTGTTCGCATTTATTGACCTAAGGGCTTCGATATGCATGAGGTTGATAAATATTTTATGATAAACTATATGTGTTTAGAAAAAGACATAGCAAATGTAAACAATTAGCTGATCAAATTAGGTCTAGAAGGGATACACAAACCGAATTTAATTATAGGTAATGAAGAATTTGTAATATGTTTTAATAATAAAATCAATACCTTAGGCGAGATTTTTTAATATATTGGCCTAAAGGCTTCGATATACATGTTATAATTGAAATAAAATAAAAAAATATTTTTTAGGAAATATTACTGGCTTAAGAGGATTTTTTAGCTTTATTCTTATAATGAATATTAATATCTAAATATATATTAAATATATTATTATATTATTATTTTTTAAAAATTAATATGCGTGGAATTTTTAAATAATATAAAAAAATATTGCTATAGGCCGGGAATCTCTAAAAAATATTTTTAAATTTAACAGTTTTATCATTGGATTGTTTTAAGAATATTTTTGAACAAAATTAAACATTATTGTGCGTGGATTTTTCAACAAAATTTAACAATCTTTGGTATGAATTTTATAAGAATATTTTTAACAAAATTTAACAGCCATAAACAAAATCTTAAAATTTTTTAAGAATATTTTTTAAACAAAATTTTAAAGCCTTATGTTTAAATTTTTTAAGAATATTTTAACCAATTTTATCAACTTTTTAACAAAATTTTATCATCTTAGGCTTGGTTTTTAAAAAGATTATTTTTCAACTGCATTTCTTTCATATTTTTAATATAAATATTTGAGTTCTACAAATAAACACACGAAAGCAGCAATCACTTTAAATCAACAAGATTTCAATCAAATGTACATCGAAGGACCACACACAGACAATATGTGAGGTAGGTTGTGTTCGCATCGCATACACAAAAACCTATTAACATCATGATGTGAAAACTGAGCGGCGCTACCCAAATGGAGCAATACAAATTTTTTTCCGAATATTGTTCTAAATAAAATAGAAAAAAATCAACAATAGAGGCAACAAGTTTATGCGATTCTGAACAAATTTATGCATTTTTTAAATTTATTTTATTTTAATTAATATTGCTCATAAAAATCTATTTAAAAAATCCACGTTTGTGGTTGTAATATTACTTACTTAGCTGGCATGTGACAGAACTTTCGTTCCATAAGCCGAGCTTAAAAAAGATTTCGAGGCGCGTCGGTTGGTTCGAGTCTACTGGACGTCTTGCGCGTTGACACCATCAGCTTGGTCTTCTCGCCGTTTACTGCCAGATCCACTTTGGCAGACTCCTTCCCATGATGTCGATGTCATCGGCGCAGAGTGAAAATCTGCTCAATGGTGGATTTGCCAGGTCTGAAGCCGCATTGGTATGGTCCAATAATGTCATTGACCATTGGCTTCAGTCGTTCACACAGTACGCTGGACAGCACTTTATATGCGATATCTATAGTTGGCACATATCGTCTTGTCTCCTTTTTTGTGCACGGGTCACAGGATGCTGAGGTTCCAATCATTGGGCATGCATTCTTCAAGTTAAATTGTACTAATCAGCTGGTGCATGCTCCTTACCAGCATCTGACCACTAGTCTTCAATAGTTCGACTGGTAACCCATCAGCACCTGCTGCTTAAATATTCTACTTTTAAGCAAGCCGATTGATTGCTATTCTGACCTCATCTTGGCTTGGTGGTATACAATCTATTATTGGTTCTGGGGTATCCTCTTCACCGCTACTATTTGATACCAAAAGTTTTTCAAAATGCTCCTTCCAGATACTTTGCAGCCTGTATCTGTCACCAGGTTTCTTTCTTCATCTCTGCAGGAGGACGTGCCTGCACCAAACCCTTCGGTTTGGTGTTTTACCCGTTGGTAGAATTTTCGTACTTCTGTAATATTACTTAAAAATTAAAATTCAAAAAATATTAAAATTTATGTTTTAATATTTTATATTATATGTTGTCTCTCGTAACAATAATTTTGACTCACACTGTTATCTCCATCCACATTCCCCCAATAGACAGTTAACAAAGTGTCAACACAGCAATACTAAGGCCATTCGAACAGCAACAGGTGAGTTAAGGTGAGTACACTGAGAGAGATAAAGAGCATTGAGAGTGTGAACAGTGTCCTGTATAAAGAGCGTAAGAATACAAGTAACTTGTTAACGGTTATTTCAACATACGTTGATGATGATCAATGGAAGCCAGCACAACGAACAGAGCACACAATGGAGAATATCAGAGAATAATGCCATTAGAGAGTGAGAGTGTTTATTTGCCCCAATAACAAAAACAACAGTAGAATAGTGAGACTCATCAGTTGGCTTGCTTAAAAGTAGCTCCACTTGTATTTACTTCAAACAGTTGTGAATAAAACTTGAAACCGTAAAGTCGCAAAAGGAGCGGGAAACTTACTAAACGGGTACTTTGTCAAATGTCATAAAGCAACGCGTAACAAACGAACGAAAAAACAAATAAAATTCATTGAGATTTTTTGTGTGTGTTTGACAAAGAAATATACAAATGAAACAATAATAATCACAAACAAAAACAAACGATGAAGATTTGCACAAAGAGAGAAAAATAACGAAATTGCGGGAAAAAATAAATGTAAGAATTTGATGCAATATTATAACAAAAAAATTACACAAGTGAATGATAAAATAAAAAAAAAACAAAGCAAAGATATTATTTTTTATAATATATACTAAAGTGCTAAGAGATCTTAATATAAGATTATTACTATTCTAAATGATAAGTTCGTGAAAATTTTTGATTTTTTTTTGTTTTCCGGTCTTGAAGTTGTTCTTTGGTTATTTTTTTGTTTTTTTTTTAATTGTGTAATTTATTCCATCAACATACTCACCAACCTAACTACCTGTCTGCCTGTCAATAAGTACGTGTGTGTATTTTTTTATTTCAACTGCAATTTGTTATGAATTTTAATATTTCAACGACCTTTAACTACCAACCAAAGTTTTTTATTATAATTATAACAACAACAAAAACAACAATCACATGTTAAATCAACAGCTGCAAAATAAAAACAACAACACATTGTTGTTATATTGTTTGTAAATGTTATGAAGCAAATCAAATAAGTAAATAATTCACTTATTTTAACGAAGCTGGTATTTAAAGGTTGAAAAATTGTCAATGCAAACATATTAAATAAATATTAGCGTAATATTTTTAAAAAAAAATTAAAGTTTATTACAATGGTGTTAATTTTTATTAATATCAATAAAATTTGTTTAGCTTCGCCGTTACTTATCAATTTTTTGAATAAAAATAAATAACTTGAATTTTGAAAAAAAAATTATTAATACACAAAATATTAAAAATTTGCCATAGTGGTCCATTTATTAAAAAATAGTTTTTAAAAGAGAGCAGAGAAAAACTGTAAATATATTTGAAACATTCAAAAATTAAATTTAAAATGTTTTTTTTAAATTCGTATTTTTTATATTTCCATTTGTAGTGCAAAATGTTTTATATAATTTCGGCCGGGTCATATTTTGTATAGCCACCACTGCATTCAAAATTCCGTTAATCGGTTGGGACTTTTATATAGGAACAACGTTATTGCATGTGTTTTTGGGTCTTGTTCCAAATTACCGGCACTCAGATTTGAAAACTGAGGTAGGAACCTTAATATATCGAAAATTAAATCGGGTATTTGTGTGGGAGCTATACCAAAACATTAACCCATATTGAATAATTTCTGGAAAGATTTTTTTATTCATCCAGAATCCGATATTCCAAATTAAAGCCAATTTGATGAGAAAATTCGTTTAAAAACATAATAATATCGAAAAATGAGGGTCGACAAAGCATGGAAATATATATTATACATAATCTTCCGAAAAAATTTGGTGTTTACCGTCCAATATCCCGGAATGCCCAATTACTACCACTACAATGGTAAAATAGGTCAAATAAAACCTTCGACATGTTGAATCCTTCAAAACATGGGCTTATATTGATTATTTTCTGTATATATGTTTGGCACTTCTGTGGGAAAATGAGGCCATCAAAATACTGGAAATGAGGCGCTACCACTATATTGGGGCTATACCAAAATATAAAACCGATATTGATGATTTTTGGTAGGAAAATTTAACACCCAATAAGATCTCGAAAAATTTAATTACAGCCAATTTGTTTGGAAAACGTGCCCAAAATACCGGATAAAAGGGTTATCATTATATGGGGGCAATATTGAAAATTGTTGGAAAGACGATTAGCTATCAAATGAGAAAATATGAAAT